TGAGGCTTTTACACGCAGAGATCATTTGGTATAAAAGGCAGACGCTAGTGCAGTGTGTCTCATTTACCTATCAATGTACGTTTTTTAAAAATGAACAGTGTTTTATTGTTACATCAACTTGGAATATGCCGATGAAAAGATGCGAAACTGCGCTCAGTTATTCTTGAGAAAATGTAAACAGTTTTTTCACTCAATATGTTGCGGGCTGATTTCTACAGTCCTTTCATATAAATTCGTATTTATTACGGTAAAGAGGTAGAAATACGTTCGACCCGCTTTATCTGTTCGCCACACTTTCCATGACATATTTCTATGTCTTTTAAGAGCACTGTGGTAAAAGATTGACATTTTTTCTATACACGACACTATAATATTTTGTTTTCCATTGTTTCAGATGACTTTCGCATTGTATCCGAAAGCCAAATGCATTTTTCCATTAAGCTTTACATAGTTTATACTAAATCATATTTTTGTAAATAATCTAAATAACAATCAAAAATCCTTATGAATTGAAATCAAAAACAAAGAGTAAACAATGAAAGCCCTGGATATTAAAACACATTTAGAAGAGAAATATGCTTATATTAGTGGTACGGAGAATTTTTGTTTTAACATTGACTAAGGAGATGAATTTAATTCTTATAAATTTGTTTGTTTATTTAGGTGGCATGGATAAAAAAGGGTATCCGTTAATTACCTTTCCTTATTCTGCTCCAATTGAACGACTGAACGCTGATGAAATAAAAAAGATCATTACTTATTTAGCATCAATTGCAAGGTAAGAACAAAATATAGAATGAAAAATCGAAATTTAGTTTTGTTTATATATCCTTTTATTTAATAGCTCTGTAAATGTCGATCCAAAATTTTCGTTTATTATTGATATGCGTGGTCGGACATGGGAAGTTGGAAAATCGATATTCAAAGCCTTACAGGTTTGATTATTCCTTAGAAAAAGGACTTATATTTCTTTATTGTTTACCGTTGTTTAGGAGAGTTTCCCATATAAAATTGAACATATTTACATTGTGAAACCAGAAAATTTCTGGGAAAAACACAAAATATCAATCGGAATGTCAAAATATACTCAGTTAGAAGTAAGTACACAAGAAGTTTTAATCAATCGCTTATTATTTATTTATTTTTGTTTCAGCATACTATTGAATCTGTCGAAAGTTTGACACGCGATATCGATCGAAATCAATTGACAAATGATCTGAACGGAACATTTCAGTATAATCATCAAAATTGGTTGGAATTTCGTCTGGTATGTTCATCGTATTTTAGACTCCTGCGTTATATAAGTTCATTGTTTGTCATTACGTTTTAGAAACTGGAAGCATTTGTACTTTATTCGAAAGAAACATTACAAAGATATGAATCAAATTATAATGAATTAAATTTGTCTGATCAATCATCAAATGTTCGAACAGCTCAAGATGCAATTGAATCCCACATGACGATCTTTAAAGATAAATTATCTCGTATAACAATTGATACTTTGATTAATGAAGGAAAAAGTTTATTAAATATGCTTCGAACATCAATGGCATCAACTAATCCAGAGCAACAACAACAGCAAGATAGTAATGGATCTAAAGCCAATCAGCATACATTTGTGTTTGATTATTTTGATGAAGCAAGAAAAATAACAATTGTTATGGATAATTTGAGATCAGCAAAAGATCGATGTTATTTATTATGGCATCAAAAAAAAGTACGATTAGAACAAAATTTACAATTGAGGTTATTTGAGCAAGATTGTGATAAGGTAAATATATAGATAAGTAAATTGTTTGTTATGAACTTCTCTCTTTGTTTCTTTACTAAAATTTAGCTCTGTAACTGGATTGGAGAAAGTCGTTTGATTATTCTTCGACGATACACCGATATTGGTAACAGTTGTTTAGAAGCAATGCAACATTTAGCTGAGCATGAACAATTTACAAAAACATGTTTGGTTAGTTAGACGAAAAATGTGTCATTCATCGAACTAATTCATTGTTCTTTTTAGGGAAACGAAGCTGTGATACGTCGTACACAAAATGTTGGTGAGCGATTAGTTTCAAGTGGTCATTATGGAACAAATGCGATTAAAACACAAATGAATCGTCTTAATGAAGAATGGAAGTCATTGACAATACTACTAGAAAATCGTACAAAAATATTAACAGCATCACTGCAATTTCATCAAAAAGCCGATGAGGTTTATTTCCTATTTGATAATTATCTCTATCAATTTTGATTAATATCTCTATTTGTTGCTTTAGTATCTAATTCAAGTTCCAGCATGGAAACATTTATGCTCGTTAACAGATGATATTATAGCAATACAAAATATTGATCAACTAGAGTGTTTATTACAACAACATTATCGTTTGTCCGATAATATATCTAAAATTTATGCCGATGTAAGATCAATGTACAGAATATTCTTATTCTTCTTCGATTCATAGATTACTAATGCGAATGAACCATCATATGAAAATCAGTTTTTAAGAAAAGAGAAATTTTTTTTCCAGAGTTAATGCAAAACTATTGAAATATTGAAAGAAAGTGAGATAAACTATTTAACTAATATGAGATTCACTCAATCGCTATTTTAGTTACTAAAAGTTGTTGTTTTTTGTGAAAGCTTTGCTCTATTTTTCATTTATCTTTCTATAGATATGTAGTGATGGAAAAGCAATCATTGATTCTGTTGCACCACCACAAACATCCGATGATCAGTTGGATTTTCGATCGAGTGCTCGACATATATTAGAAATTGTTCAAGAGGTTTGCCTTTCAATTGAAGTACAATAATTCATGAATTTGGAAAGTAGTTTTTATTTTTATCTAGATTCTTTCAAATCATCGTCTACTTGATTTTAAATGGAATCAACGACGAACATATTTACAACAGCGTAAAAGTCTACTAACATTTGAATATGATGTACAAGAAGTAAGAATTGTAAAAAATATTTTTTTCTAATTCTATTTAAAAGTTTTTTTTGAAATAGATTTTTGACTGGCTCGAACGTCATGGCGATGTTTTTCTACAAAAAAATGTCTCAATTGGTCGGTCGTTACATCGTGCAAAAGCATTATTAAAAACGCATAGTAATTTTGAAAGTGTATTAGAAGTAAGTATTTTTGCATATATATGTGTGTTTATCTAATTGTATGTGTGTATTTTTTCCTTTAAATAGAATACAAAAACAAATGCTGAAAAACTGATTGCTGCTGCCGATGAATTATATCGTGAACAACATGAACAAAAACAAATGTCATCCTCATCATCGCCAACAATAATGGATGATATATTAGATTTAGAATTAACACAAGCAAAAAGTAAAATATATGAACTAGCACATAATTTAGATAAACGAATGCAAGAATTTGATGAAAAAGTTCAAAAACGACGACATATATTAGATATTAATTTTTTATTTCATGAACATATTAAACAGGTATGTAAGAAGAGTTATTTTTTTTCAAACTTATTATTGAAATAAAATGGTTTTTCAGTAAACTAATTTCAAGAAACTTAGTTGAACAGACTACTAGTTAATGTCTTTAGCACGACAGTAAGTCAAACACTGCAGAATACTGAGTGTGTGCCACATTTTCTATACAAACATAAGTCGATAGTCGTTTATGTCACACATGAGTGATGAAATAAAACTATTAAATTTAACTTTTCTACTTTATCTTTTGTTTTTCTAATGCTCGTTAAGACGAGTTTTATGAAATAAAGAAAAAAAATAATGAAAAGAGCTATGTTTTATATTTGTACACTTAACTCAATGGTATTTAGATCATTAATTTTGGTTTGTCGTTAATTTAAATTAGGTAATTAATGAAGTTTTGGTTTATTTACATGATCAGTTTGTTTTGTCTATTAGTTATGTTCATATATTCTCAACTCTATAATCGATTAATATAATATGATTATGATTTCTTGCTTCATAGAACTGAAAACTAACTATATTTGCATTTATATTTCCGTTTTGCTTTTCATTTCTATCCATTCACTATCATATCTATAGTTTTTATTATTGTTCTATACACATACAGAAATAGATAGAAAAAAAGTTTGAATTAATCTTCTTTTTCTTCTTTGTAGTGTATAAAAAAAAGCAGTTGTTTTCTTTTCTAATGTTGACCATTGTTTTCTTTTATTATGTTTTATTGACAAATTCTATATCAACAGGTTAATAACAATAAGAAATTATTACATTACGGTTGCTAGTATAGAAGAAGAAAAAAAAGAAATATTATGTTCAATTTAATCTTGTTCTTTCCTTGTGTCAAGTGTCAAGTTAGTTGGTTGAAAAGATAACAATATATCTATTATATATAATTTGTCGAATACAGCTGTTCATGTTATTATTGTTTTACTTATTTTTTTTTTTGTTTGACATTTTTTACAATATGTGATCGAGGTTAATAGTGCGTAGTGGAGAAGAAAAAAAAAAAAGAAAAAAATTATTCTATTAATATTTGCTTGGCATCAGTTAGTGGAAGTGTCGTGGTGAGAAAAATGCAAGAGTATGTATGTAAATTTTAGGCAACTAGCTAAAAAACTTTTATGTTATAAAGCGAAATAAAAATTCTATATTACTTTTAGTTTTTTTAAAAAGTTTTGTTCTATACATTGTTCATTAATAATGGTAGAATCACTCTTTTTGTCCGTTAAGAAATACTACGGTTTAAACTTTTGACTCTCCTGAGATTTTCTGCATTAAATTTCATTAACTGACAAGTATATGAACTCTAATTTGTTGAATAACTTTTAGAATAGTAATTCTTAATCTTCAGGATTAAAAATTATGTTGTAACGAAAATTTTTTGCAACAACTTCGAAGGATTCTGGATGATTTAGGGTTCATACGTCTTTTTCATTCGGCATATAAGGATTCGATAGATGGCTTGAGATGAAATAAAATGAAGATAGCTCATAGTACTAGAAAATAGAGGTGGGCGATGGACGAGGATTCTCGCAAGGTCCACGATTCATCAAGAGGCGGACTCCGCTACTAAGAGTTTTTCTTTTCAGTTCACGGTTGGAAAATATGTTTGTTTAGTAAGTTACGTATTACATCTATTGCACACACAGTAGTTTCCTCAAGTGAACGTAAGCTAAAGAGCTTATTTTTTATCTAGTTTCATAATAAAGGTGATGGTTCTCCTTGCGAACTAAGATGAAACAATGAATAGCTTATGTTAGCAGAGATTTTCCGGACTTAGGAGGATCGATGAGGAAGTGTCAGGGAAAAATTTCATCCAGAGTTGACGGTGGACGAGGCGGCGACGGAACAGAAAGCTTACGGGGCGATCCTCATGAAATAGATTTTTCAAAACTTGGCGAGGTACGCGGCAATGACGAGGTAGGCAGTTTACGAGGCGATTCCCGCGAGGACACTAACGATAGTTCATTGCCCATCTCTGCTAGAAAAGACTTTAGGAATTGTTATGAACAAACTTTTGGTGTTAGTATAGTAAAATCAATCTATTCTGTGCACCATTTCGTAAACTTGACCGTTTTTTCTTGTAAAACTAATAAAAACTAGCAGACAGTAGCACATGTTAGATGAATAGAACGCGAAGAAGATAAGAGATCTATAGAAAAAACGAGGTGTGTAATCTCTATCGGAGATTTCGTTTTCAAATTTAGAAAAACAAAAATATTTCAACTGGTTAAAGATTAAGTCTATATTACGAACATCATATTAGAAGATTTAGATGGAGACTGATAAAATTCACTAAGCATTCATAATAAACTGTGGCCTCCCGTTTATTATTATTTCTTGATCGATGAGCACTCAATCATTGTGTGAACAGTCTGATGTTAGGAAACTTTCACATGGAAAAGTTAACTTTTTTGTATATACAATAAAATATTGCATACGGTGCAAGCCCAAGAAGAGAATTTATTGCGTGCAGTTTCTACGTTTCTCCTTTCTCTTTACTTTTTAAGGTTTCTACTTTTCAATGTTTTCTTATCATATAGAAGTTTCAATGTGATCTATATTTCGAGAGAGACGAAACATTTTCTATACATCTCAAAAGTAAGGATCCTAGAAATATGACAAAAAAAACACGTTTTTGAACGTTGAACCTCTGGTCAAGACTTAAAGAAAAACAAAATAAGAAATGAATTTTAACAGAAAAATGGGATATTGATATTTTAACAATAAGAAATGAGTATTGGATAAAATGATACTTTTACTCAATTTTCACTGGTCAACAGATGAGAAGAAGATACTTAGAGGATAGTGACAAAAAACGAGTAAACTAATTATAATTTGAGTGATGCTAGTTTAAAATGAACACTTTTCTCTTTTTTAATTTTCTCATTAATAGGAAACAATTTCAATTTTGTATTTTTTAGTTAACATCATGGCTTGAAGAAATACGACCGGTTTGGGCTAATGATGATCACTTGACAATAAACGCGGTGAATGTAGATGAAATTGAACAGATGTTAGATAAATTAATTGAACAACATGATGCAACAATCGATGCTTGTGCAACAACGGAACAAGAAGGACAAACGCTGCTCGACTATTTAACGTATGTTATTGTTGTCTCAGGGCAACAAAAAAAAAAAAATTTTTTTTCGTTCAAAATGGTTTTACTTTTTTTTCTAGAGAAATAAATACAATGGATTTAACGACCACGCATCAACCATGTTTTATCCATTTAGTTGGTAATAACTGTATTTTCATTTCTTTTATTCATACGTATATTTTCATTTTACTATTCGGTTTTTGTAGAACTGATTGATTCGATACGTTCAAAAACAAGTGAACTTGAAACATTATGGGAAATACGAAAATTACGTTTAGAATTTTATCTGCAAAAGAAAAATTTTGAAATTTCTGCCAAGGAGGTAAGAATAAAATCATTTTTTCTTTAATCATAAAACAAAATTATTTAACTCTAATGATTATTTTCACTCTATTTTTATTTCTAAGTATGTCCATGAGAGAAAAGGGAGAGAAAAAAAAATATAAGTCATAATTCATACATTTTCTACTTCTTTGTAGTTGTCATTATTATCATCATCATTATTATTATTATGATTATTTTCTGTTGTTGTACTTTCTACATAATATAAATCGTTTTTGAACAATAGAAATGAAACAAAGAAAGAATGCCAATGAAATGAAATTTAATAATAAAAAAAAAAAAAATGTTTTCTCGTATGTCCATCCATTTACGCTATAGCTAAATGCTGCACAAACAATAGAACAGAGAAAGAAAAACGAAAAATATACATCAATTGATATTGAATAACTCATACTATGTAAGAAAGATTGAAATATGTATCCCACGTTCAGTAATCTTGTTGTTCTTCATAAAATACATTCCAATAGGTAGAGAATAGATCATATCTCAATGTATATCAACTTTAACATGGTGAGTTTATCGATAGTCTTTAAAAATAAACTTTTTGTCAATTTGTCAACCATTTACTATGCTTCCTTTCTCTCTTTAACACTTTTATTGTGGATAAAATATTTTTCGAAAATATACTGAAATTTTTTTCTTTACTAACTGTTAGATAAATCTAGAACATATAACAATTATAAGCAGTCTGATATTAAACATTAGAATTTTAGTCAAATTTATCTGTAAAAATTAATAAGAATTAGTTATATTTGTTATCTATATCATATAAATCGAATGAATAGGATAACAAGAGGGATGTTGTTGTTCTAATAAAATCCTTTTTATTAAAAAAAAAAAAAAAAAACTTTTTTATATAAAAAGACATATTTCATGCATCCTATATCCAAGTATGTATGTAAAATGTTGTTCTTTCTTATTCCATTTACAATTGTGCACTTTGTACATATGTTTAAACTCATGTTTTTCTTTCAAAATCAATTGACATATAATAGTTGTATGATGTTGAATATAGTTTGAGTTCAATGTTCACTCTTCAAAAAGAACTCTATAGTTGGTAAAAAAAAAAGAACAGTTAAATGAACAATGATGTGGTATACACACAGAGACTAAGATTAGGTAATTTTATTTAATAAAATAAGAATATTAGTGATAGTTTAAAAGAGAAAAAAAAAAAGAAAGAGAATATTTTTCTACATAGATTAATTATTCAATTTTATTCTATTCGGAATTAAAAACAGACAATAGACATCTGTTTGTATATTGAGAAATTTATTGACTAGAATAAAATTATGTATTTCACTGATTAAAAATATTTATACTATTGTATGACACACAGTTGATAATGACTAGACTAAAGAAAACGACAATTATGCGATAGTTTCTTCTTATTTTTCTTTTTTAACGTTCGACTGACACACTGAAAATATTCGATATATATTACTAGTAATAAAAAAAGAAGAAAAAAACGAGATCATTTACGTTTATTAAAAATATTCAAAAAATTAATCGATTAGAGAAAATATCATCGAAGATAGATAGATGTAATGTATTAATAGACTAGATTGAATGTTCTAAAGTAATTTAAAAAAGAGAAAAAAAAAAAAAAATGAGTTATTTTTTTTTTCTCTTCGGTATCAAACGAACATACGTCTTACTCTCGTTGTCTCTATTTATCAACGTTTTTTTTTTTTTTTATACTTTCTACATGATCGTTTATTTTCCATCAAAATAGAAAATATAGACAGTGCTAATTAGCAGTTAGTATCAAAAACAGGAAAAAAATAAATAGACATGGAAAAAAACTTATTTTGTTTGTATTACTGGTGTAAGAGATGTATATGTCTAGATGGACGAGAGAGAAAGAGAGAATATCATTCATGCTCCAAGTCGTTAAAGATAGTTGTCAGATAACAAATATTAAGAGGATTTTATCAACATAGTAAATATATAAAATATTACCATATCTCTTGATTATTTTTTTGTTTTAAAAAATAAAAATAAAATAATATCAACAAAAATAATAAGAACTTTATTTATTTTCAATAAATTTTGAAATAGTATAAAATTTAGAAAAGAAAAAGATATCAAAAATGAGTTTATACCGTTAGATTATGGAGAAAATTGTAACATTTTTTAAAGTAAACATGGCTTAAAAACAGGTGAATATAGAGAAGTTACGCTTCATTGAAAAACAAAAACAAAAAACAGTCAACATTATTTTTGTTTTCTTTTTTAAAATATTTTTGTGTACACATGTAGAAAGTAACTTCTAATCTTTATCTCTTCTCGATAGACTATGAAAAAAGTGTCAGACAATTCAAATTTGATATTTTAATATTTTCTTACAAATTTCTCAATGTGTACGTAGCATATTTCAGATATCATACTAATTATAAACTCGAATTATCTTGATTAGGTGTGTTCGCTTCTTCTTCTGTTTTATTTTATTTTTCATAAAAGTATGTAAAACGACTAGTAATTGTGGTTTTATGTATTTGATTCACGTGTTGTCACTTTTTATTTCTATCATTATGTTTTGGGCTTACCTTTATTGCAACGTCAATATGGTTTACCGTTATATTATTACATTTTTATTTTTTTACCTTAGAGTCACGGTTAACTTAATTTTGAGCTATTACTCTAATTTTATTATGATTATTTTTTTAGTTCTTCTTTCCTTCTTTTTCTTTTTCTTTTTGTTTCATTTGTTGTTTTTTTCTTTTCTTACATTAGATAATAATTTCAATTACGTATAAATCACTTAATTTAATTATAGTGGATAAATTAGCATACTCTTTGGGTATAAGAATTGTATAGTTAATAAGAATAAAGTTTATTCGTATGAATTTCGGATAAATGAGCAGCAAGTACCTTATCATCTAGACGTAATAAAAGAAGAAATTAGAATCAAATAAAAATATCCAAAAATTGATCTAAATCTATGTATTGATTCTGTTTTTTTTTCTCTTTTTTTCTTCTTCTTCATTTAGGTTTCTCAATCATTAGAAATATGGTTAGAAGAATTATTAAAAATAAATAATGGGAGTAATCAACATTGTATACCTGCTATTTTACAAAATTTGATTACATCAAATAAAACTAATAATCATTATCATACGTCTATGTTAAATAAATCAACAAAAATGGACGATTGGTTACAAGTTCAAGAACATATTCATACACGTGTTGCAGAAGTTGTACAACGTGGAAAAGAGTTATTAAATGTAAGTAAAGAAAAGTTTTATAAATATATTTTGTTTTTGCCTTTTTTTTAATGGAAATATAATATGTTTTGTCTTATCTCGTACCTTAAAGAACCAAAAATCAATCGATAGATCAATTGTATTATTATTATTACAGCTGAATGTCACATGTTTATCTTCTTTCTATTTTTTTTCCTTTAGAGAAAATATAGTGCTACTTATCTTTCTTCTCTCTTTTTTTTTTTGTTTCTACTTATTTATTTACTCTTTTTGTTTTCCACTGTGTTACTTGTTACAATTAAGTAATTCATCTTCTTCTTCGTTTAGTTGATGGAATCATCAGAAATAAAATTAAAATTTGATGATAACTCAAATAACAATAATAATACTAATAATAATAATGATGATAATAGTAGTAATAATAATAATAATGCCAACCACGTACTATTATCATCACAAGAACAAATTCGCACACTAATAAATTATATGAATGAAAGAGAAAAGAGATTACAAGAAATGGTCACACAACAACAAAAACAATTTGCATGGCGTACACAAATGATTAAATTAGACAAAGAAGAAATTGAGGTAAATAGAAGAAAAAAGATGTGTTTGACATTTTTTTTTTTGTCAACTTGAATGTTTTTTTGTTTTTATAAGAATCTGAAATTTTACAATCTAACTGATCATTGTTGTAAAATATCAATATCTTCAACATTTCCTAATTATAGGAGATTTATACTTTTTAAATCATAAAAATTCATAGTTTATCGATAATTGTATACCTTCGTTTAGATTTCAACTTTGGTCAATAATTTTGAAATGAAATTATCTTCAAATTTATTATTTGCATCATGTTTAATTGAAGCGGAAAAATTTGTCAAAGATCGTGAAGAAATTCAACGATATTTTGATGTAAATATTATTATTTTCTCTTATTTTTTTTCTCTCTCTTTCGAACTAATCTATTTTACATTTTCATTGTTTTTTTATTTTTCTTAGAAAGTACTCGATAAAATTGATACATTGCATCATAAAACAGAAAAATTAGTATCATCCTTGACTGTTCTATTAGCCGAAAATGTTAATGATTTAGAATCAAAATCATCATCTTCATTATTAATATCTCCAATTTTATTTCCACAACATACAGAACAACAACGACAAGTTTTATTTACAAAATTAGAAGAACTTATACAACGATTAATATCTCAACGTCAAACAATTATTCTCTATCGTGACGATCGATTTCGTTTGTTAACTGTTCAAATTAGTTTTTATAAATCAGCAGAACAGGTCTGTATTGTTATGTTTTTGTCTGATAGAAAATAAGAAAGAAAGAAAAAAATAAATAAAACATGATTTATTTCAAAGTCATAGTTTATCTTTTAGGTTTCATCTACATTAGATGCTCTTGATCGTGATTATCGTGCTGATGAAGATTTACATGAAAAATTTAAATCTGTTAATGATAATGATGTATTAACATTATTATCAGCACGTTCACAAAAATTATTAGATCAAAAACATGCCTTTTTAAGAGCGTGTACATTAGCACGTCGAGCATCCGAACAGTTTCATAAATGTGCACATCGAAATGCAGTTAATGCTGGTAAATCGGAAAATTATTTGAAACCAATTGATACAAAAATTAAAAGTACGAATAAATTAATCTATATTTTCCTTCTATGAAAATATTTTTATTTTTATTCTTCTATAATTCTAGATGTGGTCAGTATATTAACAGCAAAAGAAAATAATGTTTTGATTGCTTGGCATTCTAAAAAAAAATTACTTGATGAATATATGCAATATATATCATTTAAACGAAATGCAAATAAAGTAAAATGAAAATTATTTAAATTAAATAATATTTTTATTTTCATCTCTCTCTATGTATGTTTAGGTTTTATCTTGGATTCATGAATGTGGTGAAAGTTATTTAGAAAAACATAAAGAACTTAGTGATGGACGAGAAAAAACAGAAACACATTCGAAAGAACATGGTGATTTTGTTAAAGCTCTAAAAGAAAAGAAAGCATATGTTCGAAAGTCAGTTGATGCTGCTGATACACTGGTAGAAAAAGGTCATTCATATGCTGGACTTATCAAAGATATGTGTAATCAACTTGATTATGGTTTTAATGATTTTTTTCGTAAAATTGAACAAATTGGAAAAGAAGTAAATATTATTATCATTATTCTAATTTGTGTACATAACTTGAGTTTTTATTATTTTTATTCTAGGAAATTGATAAAGATTCACGAAAAAGTGATTCAAGTTTAGAAGAAAAATTAGAAAATCAAGAATTAACAGAAGAAAAAAAAAAATCAGCAAAACAACGAGAATTAATATTCAATGAACTATTGACAACAGAACGGGTTTATGTTGAAAGTTTAAACAAATGTATTGAGGTAATTGTATTTCTCTACAATGGGAAAATAATAAAAAACAAAAACATTTTTTCCAGTATTTCTTTCTTATGAAAAAGAATACGAAATTTAATATTTGAAAAAATATTCAAAATAATTCGATTTTTGAAATTAATCATTTTTTATGCTTTTTTTCTGTTTTAAGTATTATCTAAATGAAATGCGTCATCATACAGATGATATTCCAGAATTTTTACAAAATAAAGAATCCGTCTTATTTTTAAATATTGAAGATATTTATAATTTTCATAAAAAGTAAGTATAAATGTTGTTGTTGTTTTTTTTATAAAATTTTAAATAAAATATTTATGTTCACTTGTTACAGAAATGAGATACATCCATCACTCTTTCAGAGAGAACAAAATATAGTTATTATAACTCTAATGTCGTTTATTGCTTTTATTATTCATTTTAATATTTTTATTTCTTTTTGTTCGATTTCTTTTGAGAGAGAGAAGAAAAAAAACGAGATGATTTGATAAGTGGCATTTTGATAGATGAGAATTCTATTCATTGTCATTTTTCATTTAGTTTGTTTCTAAAAGATCTTGAACGTTATGAAAATAGTCCAGAAGATGTTGGTCATTGTTTTGTTACATGGGTAAGTATTATTAACTAAAAAATAAAAATTGTACTTTTTAAAATATTAATATCATTTTATTTTATAGGCTGAACAATTTCAAATTTTTTATGTTGAATATTGTAAAAATAATGAATCGTGTATTAAATTATTAAGTCAATATCGTGGTCCTTATTTTGAAGTAAGTTTTCTATTTTATTAAATAAATATTTTAATCAATTTAAAAAGATATTATTTGTATTAAATATTAATATTTTGATTAATATTTAGAATATTCAACATAAATATCATATTGATACAATTAATTCATATTTAATTAAACCTGTTCAACGTATTACAAAATATGAAATGTTATTACAACGTTTAATGGCTTGTTGTGAAGAATCAAAAGGTGAAATTAAAGAAGGATTTGATCTTATGTGTAGTGTACCAAAAAAAGCCAATGATGCTATGCATCTGGGATATTTAGAAGAATTAGAGGTAAATGAATATTATCTTTTTAATATAAATATTTGCTTTATAAAGAAGAAACTTCAATGTAATGTGTAAGATGATGATTGTATACCATAGAATATTTTCCATATTTTTTGTAGCCTGGTCTTACCAAAGAAGCACTTGGTGATGTTTTATTACAAAATACATTTCAAATATGGGATTCGAAACAATTGATAAAAAAAGGAAAAGAGCGTCATGTATTTTTATTTGAAACAAGTGTTGTTATTGCTAAAATACCAAAATTATTAGCTCGTGGTGCAATTCGATACATTTATAAATATAAATTAATGGTAATAAACATCATTAACAGAAATTTTTAATGTTAACTATTCATTTATTTTATCTAAATATAGACGGCTGAAATATCTGATGTCAAAGAACATCTTGAAGCTGGAGAACCGTGTAAATTTGCGCTATTTACTGGACGTACATCAACCCATGATTTACGTGTTACACTTAAAGTAATAGAAAATAGCTAAAAATGAATAAAGATTTAGTGACTATTTATTATCTATTATTATAGGCAACGGATATAAATACAAAACAACAATGGATTATGCGTATTCGTGAATTAATACAAGAAAATGCACTTTATCATGATATATCTGTTCATGAAGCAAACATTAAACAACAAAAAATAAGTGTAAACACAAATATAAACAATAATGATCGGTAAGCGAATTATATTTGATTATGTTGTTTCAAGACGAAATAAATAAATTATTAATGGAAAATATACGTCAAATTTTATATTATTCTTCATTTTTATTTTGATAATTTTAGTCGTTCACAAGAATATGATAATAATGTACTGGATGAGTGTGAAAATGTAAGTCGTGGTGGTTCAATTTCAAGTATGACGACAGGATCATTTTCAAGTAATGGTCAACAGGTAAGAAATAAATGATTCCAAATTTTATTATGGTCATGTACTCATAATTATTGATGATTATCAAATTACAAAATAATCTGTTCTATTATACACATTGAAGGTAAATTTATGATATAATACAAGATGTTTATGATATCTTTTATCATTGATATATTTTAAGTTTTCATATGAAGTATCACTTAAAAACATGTTTTTTCTCTCATATTTGCACCTTTGATTGACAATGTATTATAATCGTTAACTTATTAGAAGTCTTGATATTAAGATTATATCTGAAGGTACAGGTTTGATAACATTTATCGAGAAAACCATGTATATAAAACGATAGCAAAAAATATTTTAAATACATTTTTTAAAAATAGAAAGTAAACGACATAGAGGCTAACTTAGATGTTAGAACATTGGCTAAGGTAACTTATAATCGTGAAAATAATATTATTCTATTAATTCAAGTGTTTTATTTATCACAAAATAGAATTTAATCGTGCCTATAAATACGTTCGCCTTATAGTAACTTTTACGTCAGACAATAAGAATACTGTTGCTATAAAAAAATAAATTTTATGTTCTCTTGAAATAAGTAAGTTAAAAATCGATAATATCGTTTACTTTGAGTTTAACATACGTAAGTTAAATCTAAAAATACTTTTCATATGTTAATCATTAAAACTAGTATTTGTTACATTAACACTGTCTTTTATTTTCTAAATGGCACCATATGTAGAAGGAAATGTAACCTCAAGTTTCTTTTTTATTAAAATCATCTTCTCGTTTGTAAAAGGTCTTTTTAAGTGGTTCGTGTCTGATTGTCATCTATTTCCTTGATTTTTTTGTTTTTAGTCCAACATATTTACAAAAATTAGTATATTACACATATAGGCAATGTTTTCTCTCATTCTTATCTTATCTTATTTGTCAGCAAAAAAGACCTTGATTAGAAAACAAATAAAAAAAGATTGGAGAATCTTGTTTGTCGATAAGATTCTTGATACATAATGAAAACTGACTCTAAACAAGTATTACAAATTATAAATGAATAAGATAGACGACACCTGACGAATGAGCAGTCAATTCCCATTATATAACGACATACTGTGTCTGTGTGTGTGTGTGTGTGTGTGTCAGTTATTTGACTTTGGTTTCAGAATATCATTACTTGAACAATGAATAATTGCAACTTCAACGTCCTTGTGATGATAGAAAAAAAAAACACTTTTCCACTTCTGTTTTGATGAATGTATGAAACAATTGTTTATTTTTTAATGAAAAATTGATTAATTTCAGTTACAAAAAAGTTCTAATATTGTTCGATTATCCTTCTGAACAACAACAGCTTGTTGTCTCTGATCCACTTAATTTTATAATGTCGATCTACAACAGTATATTGTATTGTCTTTTTTTCTTCTTCTCTTATGCAGGGAAATATAATAAAATAAATGAAGGAAAAACATATGTTGATAATTGCATGACATTTTGTACGTAACTAACTAAATGTATCATCTCTTTTTCCTCTTAAACAAACATAATCTTTTTTTATTGTATCCTAGGACCTTGGTCATTAATAGATAATATAGCCACTTTACTTTTCGATCGAATAAAATACAGGAAAATTGAAAAATCGTGTAAGAAAATAACAAAACATAATACAAATTTAATATTTATAGACAAATAATCGATTGTCGATCATTTCTGATCGATTGATAACTTTTGCATTAATATAATCTCAAAATTATCTTTATTAGAGAATTATTTTAAAAATATTATACATTTCTTTTGTGTGTGTGTATAAAATAGTACACAATGAAGAAAAGTATCTTATAATTGAAAAGTTGTTATGTGATAACATTTAGCTAATACCATACTGTGAATAATAAGTTTAAATAATTATCATTTTTTATTTTGGCATATTCACTGAAAGAATGTTTTTGTTTAATACAAGGGCAAAATGCATTATTCTTAGTCTATGTCTAAAAAAACATGTCTTTTTTTATTCATTATCAGCTGATTCAATATACATTTAGTTTATATGATTAATAACATTAGTAAAACGACAAATAGTAGAGGAGAAAGATGAGAAGTAAAAAATTTAAGTACAATTTTTTGTTTCGTCAAATTTGACCAAAAATGTATTTTTTTTCTCTTTTATACCTGCCGCAGATAAATTGTTCTTTTAAGATATAATCATCAACGTTGGATGAGAAATAAATAGACAAATCATGAAGAAAAAAAGCTATTCGCCTTGTTGTTAATCAAAATATGTTGATATCACATTCTTAAACCAATAAGTCAGATGTATATTTCTGTTTTCTGGAAAACGGGAGGGGGAGGGAGATGGTAGGAAAAGAAAAGGAAAGTAAAGATGAAGAAGAAGAAGAAAAAGAAGAAGACAGAATTAAATTAAGCCTATTTCCAAAACAGATAATAACCGTAATATGTTTGGATGACAGTTTTTTTTTAGATAAAACATTTTTTTCTTTCTCTTTTTCTCAGCATTTTATCTTCTTTTAAAGCTTATTTTTATTCATTGATATATAATATATTAGGTGTACATATTGCACACAAAAAAAGCATTTGTATGTACAGAAAAAGAAGAAAAAAAATTGTCGCCTTTACGATAATGAATGTATATTGTTTGTTTGGTTGTTGCTTCAATTACCTAATAGGACAATAATTGTAGAGAAATAGAGAGAGAGAGAAGGAGAGAGGGAGAGAGAGATTATGTGGTGTATTTATGATAATTTCTTTGAAGCAACAACGATAATGTTGTTTTATCAAAATCTTCTTCTTTCTTTTATTAATAATTAAAACGTAGGCCATTGGTCTATGAGAAAATATTTTAAATAACCCTACGTTACAATACATAGTTACCTACTAAAGAAGAAGACAAAGAACTATTGTTATGACTGTTTACCAGACATCAACATAATAATTACAAGTATTGTATTATTTTTAAAGTCTTATACTCTCTCTCTTCTTTTTCATACCCTCTAAACAACTGTCAATTCTTCGAATATATACGTACAATGGGTAATATCATTCTTCTATGTCATCTTTCTTCTCTCTTTTTCCTATTTACTGTTTTTTGTTGATATACTTAAAAAACAGACTTAATTGTCCAACATACTCATAGTTATTTGTCCTTTTTTGCTGGAAAAAGAAGAGAAAAAGAAACAAAAAAAATAAAAAATTACAAATTATGCAGCCATTTTTTTCAACAAGGAAGTAAGATACAATAATTTATTTATTTTTCATTAGATTCTGAGTTCATTCTATTATCAAGATTTTTCTGTTCTTTGTTGTATTAATACAGTTTGTTGTATTTTTGATTGCCTTATCAACAATTGTATTTTTTACATACATGTCCGACCATGTTTACAAATTAGAGAGATTAAATCAGTTTTTCTATCAGCGTGTATCAGATAATTGTCATTTAAACTTTTATTTAGTTAAAAAGACAAGGTGAATTTTTCAAAATGCTTACACTGAACATTCATATTTTTATCAGTTAGATTATCAACAATAATTTTTCTCTATTTGAGTTATATTCTCCAGGATTCATATTTTATGGTTTTTAAAATAATTATCTATATTAATTGAAGATTGTTCTGTTTATAGGGATGTGAATATGAAAGTAGTTTGAGATAGGATGAAAGAAAATGAGATAGAAAATTTTTTATTTTATTGTCTCGTATCGTTTATCAGTATTTAAAATAGTTTCATATATATTTCGTTGTTATGAGTCATTCACGTCGTCGGTTATTATTGAAAGAAAATATTGAAACAAACTCGACATCGTCAACAAAACATCAGAAAAAAATAAGAAAATGGTATATTGAAAAACCGCAAACAACATGCGAAAGTTTTGTTGATGATCATAATAGTTCAGAAACAGAGGAAATTGATGATGATGACGATGATGATGAGGATGAGGATGATGATGATAGGCAACAACAACAAAAAGAAAATGTTTCGAGAAAAATTGAACGTTTATTGAAGAAAATTAATGAAAAAAGTGCCGAATTATGGTCAACTGATGAAACAAAAATGAAAAAACGGCCTAGAATAAAAAGACACGGTTCATTGATTTCATTAAAACCAGTTGAAGAAAAACCAAAACAGCCGTTTCAAAATGCATTTTTAAATAATTCAAAAAATTGTGAACCATCACAATTAGATGTTGAAGAAAAAATAACATCTAAACCATTTATTGATAGATATGAACAAATAAAAACTCAATTCAAAAATTTGCATACAGCACCAACAATTTATTCTACCGTAACACATCCATACAATATTTCAGGAATTAAAAATTACAGTTCATTAAATTCATATAATTTTGGTCAAAGACCAAAATTTTCTACATCTTCAACGTTTGTTGAAAATGAATATGAACATATTAGACGTGAACCGGTTAATATTGGTCGTCGACGTTGTTGTTCGATAACAAACGATGATTTTGAAACAGAATATTATAATTTCCATAGGCCACATTCAATGACACTTGATAATGATAAGGTCAAATCAAATGTCTATCATCATATTATACCAGTTGTACGACAACAATCAATTCAACCGACAAAACCAAGAACAACATCATGTATTGTGACAAATTTATTGAACAATGATAGTTTATTTTA